TGTTTCTTCAAGATCCAAAACTCTCCAAACTCCCCTTGGGGACTCTCGGTGTAGTAGTTTTGAATGGCTGGCAACTGGCCTAACCGGCAATACTGGCTTGTTCATTTAAAGGATCACTCTGAGAGTTTCTTGTGGAGTTCTTCAGAAGCCAGAGTTTGGGGGCTGGAGCTGGTGACTCAGCACAGTCCTTGTGAGCAAAAGTGCAGGGTGGGAGACTCACATGGGATATCTCTTAGAATGCTCACACACATTCTTTTTCTCTTGCTGCACAGTATCCTTTGCCTTTAAACAAAAGCCTTATTTGAGTATACTCTGGGGAGTCTGGCAAGTTCTTTCAAATATAAAAACTGGGGAAAAAACTTTTGTAATTAACTATTAATACACTAAAGAACTGCAGTATGGATTAATGATTCATTGAGTGTTTTAGGCTTCAAGCAAATCTTAAAAGTAGATTAATATAATTTTTAATATGTCACATCCTTAGAATATTATAAATTCACTTTTACTTATGTGAAGTATGAGTTTATTTTTCCCTTTAGCAACCCTTAATAAAAGTTCTCTAATCCTGGTTCATTGATTTCCACATAATCAAAAAACTTATACCTTAAAAAATCACTCATTCAGTCCTTCCATTTTACATATGATGAAACTAAGTCCCAGAAAACAGTAACTATTTCTACAAATTATTTCGCAAACAGCAAAGCTAGAATTACATTCCAGATTTCTGATTACCAGGAAAGTGTTCTTTGATAATCATGAAAACTAGATTAAAGGGAAGTATCATTTTTTGTTTTAGTAAAAAAAAACCACCGGTTGATTAATTTCAGACACCCAAATAGAAACTTTCTGAAAAAATATGACTGTCAACTATCTTGATACACATAAAATTATCCAACATTATACAGACATTATATCAGAAAATTATCTTAAGTGAATTCAAATTATTCTCCTTTCCTGGCCACTTTATCATCATTGTCTAGGTAACTGTCATGACCCTCAGAATAAGAATCCACTATCTAACAACTTTGGCAATGAATGATTCCATTTGAGAGTAAACTTAATATTGAACCTATAATTCAATTATAGTTCAAGCACCAGGCCATCATTTCTCAAAGTGCTATTTTGAGGAACACTAGAGTACTGTAAGATGTTCTGTGAATAAAAGATGCTAGAGTCAAGTAAATTTAGGAAAAGCCACATAAACTATATAAACTGACACAAATAATTAATATACAGTTGACCCTTGAGCAACAGGAGTTTGAGCTGCGTGGGTTCACCTTAAGGGCAAAATTTTTTCAGTAGTAAATACTAGATGACTACACAGTCTGTGGTTGGTTGAATCCACGGATTTGTATCCACAGATACTGGGGGCTGACTTGATGTTATGTGTAGATTTTCTAATATGCAGCAATGACTGCCCCTAACTTTCTGCTCTTTTCAAGAGTCAATTGTATATACATATGTATGCTTATACATATTTTCCCTCTTAGAAATTCATAGTGTACGTTAAAAACTAAGATGTCTTTCAAGGAAGAAAACGTTCAACTTTATTTCAGCATTTCTAGAACTTCTTTGATCATAACATGCTTTTTCACCAAATAACTCATTAACAAAGGAAACAGTATTATAAAATACATTTTGGGGAAAACTTATCTAAGCATCTTTTGTGCTATCCTACCAAGTAAATGAGATATCCAAATTTACATTTATTATAATCACATATGTATATAGCATGTCATAATTTAAGTACTTTTATTTAAATTTTGCTTACTTGATCCAAGGTATAGAATGGTACTTATCTCATGGCAGAACCAACATTTGTTGAGTGAATAAAAGTACAATCAGTTCCAATCAATTACCAAGGTAGTGCTTATAAATGTTTTTAAGAATAGGATACTTAATTATTACATTACATGGGTTTAGATATGAAAAAACTCTATGATTTACCATAACATGTAGGAAAGGAAGAGCAAGAGCCCACAACATGGATAGTAATGAAAAAAATCCCTAAATTTTAATCCATCAAAGTAGGTATTTAGTATACTAAAAACTACATACCACATATATGTATATGGTTGCCTTTTTTACTAAGATACTACAAACTCTGCAGAAATCTAATTATGCTACTTCTAAAAGCCTGCTCTCAGGAATTTACATTTTTAGTATTAAAAGAGAATCAAAATTAAAATAGGAAAATCACCACTTCACAACCATTACAGTAATAAGTAATCCATCCAAGAAACATCAACAGATGCTAGAACCAGGGAGTAGAAATTTTGATGAGGAACAGTATGTTTATAAAGTCTCAACTATTTCCTTCAAATCAAAATACTTATTGATTACAGTTAACAAATCAAAAAAATTATTAACTTCAAAAAGGAAAAAAATAATGCTATAATGGAGAGACCTAGTAGACAGAAGCTTAATCAAGGAATCAGGGTATGAGACACCACCATGACAAATCAAACACAAGCTCCACTTAAGAATGTTAAAAGGACTCAGCAATCCTTTTGAGATGGTCCAGCTGAAAATGCGCAACATGAATCTAATCATGCAAAAAACATCAGACAAAACCAAATGGAAGCACATTCTATAAAATAACTGACCTGCAACATTCAAAACTTATCAGTTGGGAAAGTCAAGGCAAGGCTCAAGAAGAGTTCTAGTTTGAAAGAGACTGAGGAAACATGGTAGGTAGCTAAATCTAATCTGCACAGAGACCCTTTCGACAAAAGGCAAAACTTGGTGATACAGGAGAATGTCTCTGTAAGATGCTAATACTGAACTATTTCGGGGTGATTGAGCAATATGCTGACAACTTACTCTCAAGTGGTTAAAAAAACCTCTTTGAACTATACTTACAGAAAAAGAGGAAAATTTAGATAAACTTAAAACTTTAAAACCAATATACATGTTTCTACTATCTTCAATATTATTTATACTTCTTTCTGGATTTGAAATTAAAAGTTTCTAAACTAATCATCAACTTCTTTGGTTTTCTGAATTCTTAGATTCCAGTGGGGATAGGAGATTCTAAAATGTATGAAACACTCAGGAATACCACAAAGATAAGGGACTTAGGCACTAACAGAAGGAGGAACAAAAACATATCAGGGAAAACTGGAACCTATTATGAAAAGGGCTATCTTCTGGAGGTACACATAAACAGAACTGCAGCAAATTTAAAATAAATGCATTTCCACTGGGAAGAGCCAGAGGGATGGGATGGGGAGGGAGGTGGGAGGGGGGATCGGGATGGGGAACACATGTAAATCCATGGCTGATTCATGTCAATGTATGGCAAAAACCACTACAATATTGTAAAGTAATTAGCCTCCAACTAATAAAAATAAATGAAAAAATAAAATAAAATAAAATAAAATAAGTGCATTTCCAGCAGAGTCTCTGACTGTGACCAAAACACAGTCGTAAAATATATTACAATATGTGGTTAAAAGAATTGTTATTTTTACCACAAAACAAGCAAGTCTAAAAACTCATACTGCTACAGATAAAGAATGTTTTTAATCTGTTTATTTTTTACACTGCAACAATTCAGAATGTACCAATTTTTAAAGAATATGGGCAGTCATATTTTAAAGTGAACAATGAAACACTAACAATAACTATAAAAATACTCTTTCTGTATGCTACTAATGCAAACAACAGTTCCCTTCATTTTCCTAAATTTGCTGGTTAAGAATTTCTTAGCGTAGAATCGTGAGAATGCAGATTAATAAAGGAATGCAAATTTCCAGGCCTCATCCAGAATTCAAAGTCCTTCATAAACTATTTATAAAAAGTGAAACTCTTACTCAGTTGTATCCCACTCTGCAACTCCATGAACTGTCTCCTGCCAGGCTCCTCAGTCCATGGGATTCTCCAGGCAAGAATACTGGAGTATCCATTCCCTTCTCCAGGGGATCTTCCAGACCCACGGATCAATCAAACACGGGTCTCCCACATTGCAGGGCAGATTCTTTACCATCTGATCCACCAGGGAAGCCACTCTAATAAAACTTTCATGGAGGTTTTATATACATTAGTTGTAGACCAAGAGTTAACACATCAGCTTGAGATCACTATCCCTAGAAATGGCAGCTTGCAGGATAAGCTCTCTTGGTTAACAACTGGTAACCTGACTTTCAAGACAGCTTCCACCACTCCCAGACTGAAAAGGGTGGCACACGATGTCTGTACTCCTTGTACAAGCAATACGGTTTACGACCAATCTCTGTTTTCCTTCTGCGCGTCTGAAATTTTGGTACATGCTAACTAAAGCAGAAGGGTGCGTATAGACTGACATCAGTATGAACCCTGGCCATCCGGGCTCAGGTGAGCTGTCCTACTAGAGGGCATCTCACACATGTGGTAATAACTCATTCTAAGAGGAATCAAGCATGTCCCGTGTGGCTCCACTGGAAGAAGACTGCCGGGAGCTTGAGCCTGGCTGCCTCTCACTCCATCCCTGTGCCTTTTCCCTCTGCTGATTTCACTTTGCATGCTTTTGCTGAGTCTTATGAGCATTCCCAGTGAATCAACCTCGGGGTCATTTGGGGGATTCTGAAGACAGTACCTTAAGGTATAAAATTACCTTCCGTAGGGTGCCAAGTGTTCAATACATATTATATATAGATTAGCAATCTGCAGTTGATAACATTAAGATGACAAAAGTTCAAAATAAGTCCTACCTCACTTACAAAATTATCAACTTTCTGGACTATTGGAGAAAAATTACTCAGAAGATTTTGTAACTTTCATTTTCTGAAAGCTCAAATTTGCAATCTCAACTGCAAATATAGTTATTCAAGATTTCATTCACCCAGTTGCTACAAATTATTTCTGTATGTGTAAATATAGAAATTTTACATTAAATTAAAATTTTAAATTCAAAATAGAACTCATCCTTGTCATCAAAAACAAACAAACCCAAATGCTAACTCAAAACAGTTTTCTGTCCATCACAATTTAGGTAGTGTTTAAAAGGGATCCATTCTTACCATGTGGAGTTATGGTCTGCACAGGCTTCGCAGGGGATCTCACATTCCATATAGTCAAGGTGCCATCTGAATGACTGCAAATAAATTGTTTTCCTTCATGATGCCAAGCAACAGAGTGGATAGCCTACAAAAGAGGGGTAAAGAATTCCACCTTTAAAAACAAAAACTTATTTAAATACCAAGTTATTCATAATTGGACCTGGAATTAATTTTTCATATTAACTTTTTTCTTATTTCCTAAGCTGAAGTCCATATGTTAACATTAAATTCCCATAACTTAATTGTCCTGCCAAAAAAATGAGATTTAATTTTGTTCTAACACTCTTTTAACTTTCAAAATTTTATTTACTCCTTAAGGGAGCATGATAATAACATAATAGTGATTATGTATTATTGACAAGTTCAAGAAAACAATGCATTCTTGTAGTTTCTTAGAATAAACAATAACTAAACATAAACTACCAAGTAACTATAATCAATAGCCTACTGGAAAAACTAGTTGCATTGACTGTTCAGAACAAATTTTATAAATTAACTAAAATTCTAGGAGACAAGAATGCAGATTTAGAATTAGGACTGATTGAAAATACCTCAAATTGAACTTCAAGACAGGTGACAAAAATCTATAAGGCATGCAAAGAAACCAGGAAATACGATGCAAAATGAGAAGAAAATGTAGTCAACAGAAACAGACTCAGAAATGATACTTATGAGAGAATTAGCAGACAAGGATATTAAAATAAATATTTTAAACAGACTCCACATGCTCTAAAAGGTAAGTGAAAACACGAAAATGTTGAGGAAAGACATACAAGCCTTCAAAAACACAAGTGGAATTTCTAGAGATGAAAAATGTCTAAGATGAAAAATTGTCTCTGGATGGGTTTGCCAACAGATTTCATACAGCAGAAAGAAAGCGTCATTAACTTGAAGACACACAGCAGCAGAAGCTACTCAATGCGGAAGATGGGCAAAGAATAAGCAGAACATCTAGAACTGTGGTACAACTTCAAGAAGACTAATAGGTGCGTCATAGGAGTCTCAGAAGCGAGCCTATGGACGGAAAATATATTGGAAGAAATAATGACCCAAAGTCTCCCAAATCTGATGAAAACTTTCAACTCTATAAACTTCTAGAATACACAGACATCTTAGAAATTCAGTGAACTCAAAGCAGAAGAAACGAAGAAAACTACATAAATGTACATCATATTTAATTGCTTAAAACTGGAACGTTAGTGATAAGAGATCCTTAAAAGCAACCAGACGGTGGGGACAAGGAGGGGATCACGTTAAACGGAGAAAAGCAGAGATTAAGATGACAGCAGATAGCTCCTTAGAAACAATGCAAGAATGCAGCTGAATAATACCTTGACAGTTCTGAGAGAAAAAACTGTCAACCTAGGACTATATCCACCAAAAATATCTTCGCAAATCAAGAGGTAAAATAAACACATTTACACACATAAAGGACTCAAAGAATACATCATTTGCAGATTTTCACTGTAAGACATGTTACAAGAAGTCCTTCAGGCAGAAGGTAAATGATACGAGATGGAAATGCGGCTCTACTCAAAGGAACGAAGAATACCAGAATGACAGATATGTAGGTATGTATTAATTATAGTCTTATATTTTATCAAATGTTTCTAGGAGAACAGTCTCATAAATCAGGACATTAGCTTTAAAGAAATTCTTTGTTTTTGGCTGTGCTGGGTCTCTGCTGCGGTGCAGGCTTTTCTCTGGTTGCGGCGCGCAGCCTTCTCACTGCAGTGGCTCCTCTTGTTGCAGAGCACAAGATCCTAGGTTGTGCAGGCTTCAGCAGCTGCAGCTCCCAGGCTCTAGAGCACAAGCTCAGAAGTTGTGGGGCAAGGGCTTAATTGTTTCACTCACGTGTGAATCTTCCCAGGTCAGGGACCAAACCCATGTCTCCTGCATTGGCAGGCAGATTCTTTACCACTGAGCCACGAGGGAAGCCCAATTATACTCTCTTAAATACTTTTCACCTTTTCTTCTGGTATGTAGTTAAAAATATTACTTGGAAACAGCTTGGACTTTTTAAGGCTTGCTTAAGCTCTGTTAGGCTAGCTAAGACAGTCTTTAACGCAGGGCTAGTCTGTCCCTATGACAAGGCCAATACCTTTTTGAGTATGCTTTGCGATGCCCTGTCCATTACAAGCATTCTCCGTTCTGTTGGGAATGTGACCTATTCTTAGTCCTGTGCGTGCTATGAGAATTGTTTTACCTACTCCTTTCCAATGGATCTATTCTAAACCTCACACTCATGCACTAATCATTATTCAGTTCAACTTAAGACTAAGGTAAAGGGCTCCTTGTGGATTTTTAAAACTCTCTCACAAGGCAGGTCCCTACATTCTGTTACCTTGTCTTATAAGTTATGGATAACTTTCCTCATTTCCCAACTCTGTTTTCCTCAATTCAGGGAGACTGCTGGGTTTAACGTAGGTTCCCCCTTGCCCATGCCCATGGAATAAGACCTGGAAAATCTCTCCAGACCATAAGCTAATGCAGTTGAAAGGCTCACCTTTTCCCCCTAAGGAATCCCTGTTCTATACTATCTGTTAATTTCTATAAACTGTTCTTACATATATTTTCCCAGTGTGTTTGTTTAAACTGAGAGGGTAAATTCCCTGTGATTCAATAGTGGCTAAAGCCAAGATAACTATGTAAATTACAAAAGTAAAATAAAAAAAGTCAAATATGCTTTCATTTTGACACAAGAAACAGTTCTACAGGCCAAAGCTTCCAGAGAAATGACAAGAACTCTTTATTAAAAATACTCTTTTAAAATAATTTTAAGATCTTGACTGGTAAGTGACAGAGTATTTACCAACCAAAAGGCTTTAAAATTAAAAAAAAAAGGATACAGTTATGGAAACAAACAAAAATTTCTTTCAGGTCAGGCTTATAAAGATAATATGCAGACATTTACAAAGTATTTCTAGTTTTGCTACAGTTACTAAATGTAATCTGTTTGACTAATTGAAATCATCAATATGAACACATGACATTTCTTAAAAATAAACCAAAAAAACCCCTTACACATTTCCTAGATCTATTCTCTGAATTAGAAATTGTGAACACTCCTGGTACCCAAATTATGGTCACCAGACACCATTTCTCACTGAAAGAACCCAGTTTCAAGGAAAAAGATACTCTAAATTTGGGACAGAATCAAATTGCTTATCATTAAGATTACTAGAGAACAGCCCCTTTTACTGAAATAAAAAAAAATAAGCATTTATCCTGCCTTTCCTATCCAAATTGTACAACTACATAATCAAAAGAGCAGGTGAGAAGCTTCTCTTTACAGAAGTATCCCAGATATTTGATAGAGAAGGAATTATAAAATTAGAACTTCTCTACTGTGCAACAACTACATGGTAATGGATTTAGGCCTTGAACATAACTGACGGCTAATATCACAGACACTAATGTTCAATCTGGGAGAAGAAGATCAGCATCATCTAAGTAGTAGTCTTGCTAAAAACAAAAAAATGAACCTAAATTTGGTCATCTCAGTAAACCATCCAACTTATAGGAAATCTGAAGGCAATAAAAATCTTTTTTTTTATTAATCACAATCTTTATTTGGATTCTAAAGCAAGGAAGCTATAAATATTTCCAGTACACTATCATTTGTATAAAATAAAAAGCTAGCACACATTTATTAATTTGTTTGTAAATGCAGAAAATACCTCTGGAAGAATACATGAGAAACTAACATTGGGATGAGGTAAGGGAATTGGATGGCCAAATGACAGGAGCCGGAGAGATCATTTTTGTATCTTTTGAGCTATGTGAATGTATTATATGATACATGTGCAAAAATTTGTGTGTTACAGTTAACTACAAAGATTGCCTAAAGTCATTAATTAAAGAAGTTCTTAGAGAAGCCATTCTGAACTGGAGAAATGACAAAAATAATGTTATTACCTCATCGTAGGTGTATCTATAGTCGGCTTTCTTTGACTTGAGGTCCCATAACACTACTGTTCCAGATTCAAAGCCAATCAAAAGCTGTAATAAAAGAAAATGCTACATTACCTAGGATTGACATTAATCATATGAAACATTTACTTGCTGACAATAAAGATAACTATTATTATTCACACGCTTTGGGTACAAAATTATAGCATCATTAAACATCTGCATTGCTAATCGCTAATTACATGGATGACATATGGGAATACTGCATTGCATATTTATATGCCTTTGATCATTAGGATTTCAACATACATCATACAATCGATTATTGAAAATCAAAACAGTACCATTTTGAAGTCCAGAGTGTACATTTCCATTCATTAATGTATTAATAAAAATGAAAATTTCATGTGCTTTAAAGTTTACAAACTTCTCTAATTTAACACACCATCAGGCAGTATCATTTATTCATCTACTGATTAGTTCCAAATTATATCTAGCCTAGACCTCTCTTGTGAGATTCAGACTTATAATTCCAATGGTCACATGTTCATATATTTATTCCACAAGAACCTCAAAGCAAATATATCCACAAGTGAATTCATTACTTTCTTCTCTACTGTCTTTTTCTTCTATTTCCTGTTACAGAGGTTTTCTCAGTATTTTTAAAAATATTCTTTAAGAGGCTCAAGTAAAAACTTTGGCATCAACCTCAATCCTATTGTCTCTCCCACCAGGTAAAATCATCAAGTAATTTAAAAATTACACTCATACAATTTACTTTTTTCCACTTCCAATACATCTCTCCTGGTTCAATACACAAAGATCTCTTTTCTAGTTTCTGGTCTCTCTGACTCGCTAGAGAGTCCTTATTTAACTTCCTTAAATAAGTTCCTTATTTACTTCATTCCAAATCGTAGTTAGAGTGATAGTTCTAAAATACAAGTCTGACCATGTAATGTATGCTTTTATTTAAAACTTTTTAATGCCTTATGCTTATTTTTAGGATCAAATCCAAAGTTTACAATCTGACCTACAAGATATATCATGGTCTGACCTCTGCTTAACCCCTCAGCTTCATGCTGTTCCACATTCCTATTACCCAATGCATTCCCGTATATCTTTCAGGTCATGCTTTCTTACCTCTACATGCTGTCTTTACCTTTACATACAGCCTCTGCACATGCTGGCATCCTAACTGGACCACTTCATCTGAAGTCATCCTTTTTGCCTGACTAATCCTACTAATCCTTTAGGTCATTTTAGCTATCACTTCCTCCTGGAAGCCTTCCTTGACCTACCAAATGTAAGTCAGCGCCCTTCTTATTTGCTCCAACAGCAACCTGTACATTTTTTAGCCTGAAAGGTCACTCTACAATAATGTCCTTTTCTTTATCTGAATTCTCTTGCAACCTCTAACATTGGTTTATTTAACAAGAATTGGTTTTATCTTGTTTACTACTATACTTCTAACATAAGACAGACCGTCTGATATGACATAGGTATTTAATCCATTTTTTGTGAATAAATAAGTTCCAAAATGAAATCCATGTTCTTGCCTCACAAACTGCCTACTGTCTACACTTGCATTTTAGGAATCTTAGTGTTTTGTCTGCCTGTAACCTCCTCCCTTTTTACCCACTTTTGGTGTTGCTTCCCTGGGTAAGCCTACCCAGTTCCTCTGGACAAAGATGCTCCTTCTCCTATATTAATACATGCATTTTCATCTCTAGTCTCTACAGACATCTCTAGTATCTAATATACTGTCTAACACACAGTAGATGTTCAATAAATATTTGCTTAATAAGTACATGAATAATCAGCAACTAGCCAATAATCATTCACGTAATCTGGAGACATGAACAAATTTGGAGGCAGGCCCAGTAATTTTCACTAAATAGTAACTTAGTGTACTTCAGTATATAAGGGGCACTCAGAAGACCCAGTCACCGAAACTAACAAAACAGATTTACATCTTGGTAGGAAGTATAGCTAATTTTCCTAACATAAACTTTCCTTTCCTTGACCATCTGTAATACATAATCCTTGGAAAAAACTGGCATTTGTTTCCTTTACCCTTTTTAGTCCTTCTAAGCATCTTGGACATGTGTATGGCATTTTCTGATGGGGGACATAAGAGAGGAACTTCAGGAATAAGGAAAGAGATGGAAAAAGATAACAGTTAAGAATCAATGTATAGTGTGTATGTTATGTATAGTGTAAAACAATACTGGATTGTTCAGGACACAGGTAACTTACATTCTAGGCACAGATCTACCAACAGTAATTATTCAACTTAAATATTTTACCCATCCAGACGTTAACAACGTAAGAGGATTATAGTAAACTTTAACCCTTCCAGCCAGCTCTACTTTCCTATAAATATCAGAAATCTGTGCCAACAAGTTAGACTTTAACCCCTATAATCTTCTAAACAGTAAAAAATAGAAGAACTAAAGGATGGGGTACTTATGAACAGAAAATTCAAAGATTATTCCCTCTAGAATCTGTAACTCATAGAAATGTTAATTTTTTAACAGTACTGTTGATGAATTTTCTTTGAATTTTTCTCTCATAAAAAGCATTCATCAGGTATACTGATACAGCTCTTCACATTAATACGTGATCTAAAGCTTACAGAAGAAATGTAGCATAACAGAGAATACTCTGAGGTTGAAATCAGAGAAATCACTATTCAAAATCCCAGCTCCGCCCATATCTAGCCTTGTACTTCTGGAATACATAACTGGATCAAGTCTCCGCCTGATTATCTATAAAACAGGGAGAGCAGCTCACTTGATCTGTTGGATGATCAAATAAAAACAGAGCACACAAAGTGGAAAGCAGGGCCCGACCGACAAAGTGGGGTCAATAAATGGCAGTTATTACTGTTGCTGTTAAGTAAGGAATCTGACATGAGCACTTGACTTTCTTTGGCCAGGGCCTGTGCTTAATGTGGCAGCATCATGCACCATAAGGTTAGCTTTGAAAGAACACGTCCTATCACCTTACCTCTTTTTTCAGTGACACAATGTCAAAGAGATCTTTAGAGACAGGAATCAGTAGCGTGAAGGAAATTTTTCTATTAGAAACCAAAAGTTAGATAATATCATCTGTTCTAGCACCCTAATACTTAAAAATGTTTAAAAGAGATTAATTCTGGGAACTAAGGAGGATAATATAATGCCACGTTTCAAAAAATGAGGATGATATAAATTTTTTCAATTAAGTATATATGGAACCAGGATTCCCAGGTGGTGCTAGTGGTAAAGAACTGTCTGTGAATGCAAGAGACGTAAGAGACGTGGGTCCGATCCCTGGGTTGAGAGGATGCCGCAAAGAAGGAAATGGCAACCCATTCCAGATTTCTTGCCTGGAGAATCCCATGGACAGAGGAGCCTGGCGGGTTACAGTCCAAAGAGTCATAAAGAACCATATATGACTGAAGTGACTTAGCACAAACATATTGAACAGTTATTATTTTATTGTATGTTAAGTGCTATAGGAAATATAAACTTGCATAAATCCTATCTTTGTGCTCAAGGAGCCCTTCAAGTTCAGGGGAGTTGAGATAACATACTTCTAGTTCAAGGCAATATGCGGTAAATACTATACAACTTGCACAACTTAGGTGCTAATAAATTTAGAAGTGAGAGAAAGAATTTTATGTCAGGATTGTCAACAAAGGTATCATGAAAGATACGTTATTTTAATCTGAGCCTCAAGATGTGAGTAGGAATTTAGCAGAGAAAGAACAGTGAGAAGGAATTCTGAGCAAAAGGTCTTACATAAAGAAGTCATGGAGATAGTAAAGACCAGCTCACATTTGGGCAGCAGTAACTATTTGCTTCAGCATAGTGTTCAGGTAAGGCTGTTCTCAAAGATAATGAAACCTAGGGTTATTTTTACAGAAACACTGCTTTGTTTGTTTGGTAATACAGAACGACTGAAAGCTTTGGGACAGGAGAACAAGAAGATTAAAATGGCACTCCAGGAAGACTGATCTGGAGAGGACTCAAGATTGGGTAGGAATGCCTGGAACTGCAGTGGTGGGAAGAGACTGAATAGCAAAGACACACTGCAGTGGAAGGACTGAAATGATTCAGTGACTGAGTCAGTATAAAAGAAACGCAAGTTTCCAACTCTTCTACCAGGTCCCCTACCTAAAGGCTGGCTTTCAGACAATTATCTTATACCAAAAATAAATAAGTGAAGATACAGGTTACTGCAACTTGCTTAATGGAAAGTTTCTCTCAAAACATACACAGGCATGATTAAGTCAGCTTCAAACAGTACAGTACAGCCATCCTTTTGTTTTCCCAGTGTCAAATAAGAGAACGGTGCTAAAACAACATAGAGACATCACCACTCCCAGTAATTAAGGAAAGGAAAAACCTGAGTAAACTGCTTCACAAAATCCAGAAGTTTCATTTCACTGATTTCTGGTAGTGATTAACTTCCTGGTATTTATGCAAACTAATTATAATGAAACTTTATAAGTAGAAAAAACATAATTAAATAGAACTGAGACTGGTTTAAATTATGAAACAGAGATTCATGGAAATGAAAATTTTATTTTTTTTTTAGTGTATTAAAGAACCTAAACTAAATTTTATTGCTTTTCACGGTATTAAAGAACCTAAATTAACAACAGCTAGGTAATGACTGCATGGAACTGGTTTCGGGTATAAAAAAGTATTATTTTAAAAAATACCTATTAACATGAGCCTTTGGTTAATACTAACTTTGGTTAATAAAATAAAAACACCAAAGTCTTTGACTGTGTGGACCACAACAAACTATAGAAAATTCTTAAAGTGAATAGCAGACCACCTTACCTGCCTCCTGAGAAATCAGTATGCAGGTCAAAAAGCAACAGTTAGAACTGGACATGGAATAGACTGGTTCCAAATCAGGAAAGGAGTATGTCAACGGTGTATACTGTCACCCTGCTTATTTAACTTTATATGCAGAGTACATCATGCAAAATACCTGGCTGGATGAAGCACAAGCTGGAATCAAGATTACTGGGAGAAATATCAATAACCTCAAACATGCAGATGACACCACCCTTATGGCAGAAAGGAAGAGGAACTCAAGAGCATCTTGATGAAAGTGAAAAGAGGAGAGTGAAAAAGTTGGCTTAAAACTCAACATTCAAAAAACTTAGATCATGGCATCTGGTCCCATCACTTCATGGCAAATTGATGGGGAAACAGTGAGAGACTTTATTTTGGGGGGCTCCAAAATCACTGCAGATAGTGACTACAGCCATGAAATTAAAAGACGCTCACTCCTTGGAAGAAAAGCTATGACAAACCTAGACAGCATATTAAAAAGCAGAGACATTCCTTTGCCAATAAAGGTCCGTCTAGTCAAAGCTATGGTTTTTCCAGTAGTCATGTATGGATGTGAGAGTTGGACCATAGAGAAAGTTGAGTGCTGAAGAACTGATGCTTTTGAACTGTGATATTGGAGAAGACTCTTGAGAGTCCCTTGGAGTGCAAGGAGATCCACCCAATCTATCCGAAAGGAGATCAGTCCTCAATATTCATTGGAAGGACTGATGTTGAAGCTGAAACTCCAATACTCTGGCCATCTGATGCAAAGAACTGACTCTCTGGAAAAGACTCTGATGCTGGGAAAGATTGAAGGCAGGAGGAGAAGGGGATGACAGAGGATGAGATGGTTGGATGGCATCACTGACTCGATGGACATGAGCTTGAGCAAGCACCAAGAGTTGGTGATGGACAGGTAAGCCTGGCGTGCTGCAGTCCATGGGGTTGCAAAGAGTTGGACATGACTGAGTGAGTGAAGTGAACTGATTAACCTGAGATTTTTATGAAGAAAAAGTTAGGAGAGAGAGGTGTTATGTGATAAGTATTATAAAAACTGTTTAACTACAAATTATAAAAAAGAATTCAAAACCAGAAGAAAATAGGTTTTCTCCAGATTATCAGAGAATCGGTGGAATTATTACAAATAAGCAAAAAATAAGTTAATAAGCTTTAATTGTATTTATTAAATTTTACTTGTTTTAGGGTTTTCTTCTTTAAAATGTAAGTGATTTTAATTCTTTCACTTGTTCCTTATAATCTATAAATAAGCAATTGTTTATATGATATACAACCTTTGTTAGCAATCTCAAATTTGCAGAGTAAGCATGATTCCAGAATAGTTTGAATACTTAAAAAATACTGGAATTCATGCATTTAAATAATAAATATATTTATTTAATGTATTTACCTTTCCTTCATCCATTGGATTATCACTTATATGGACAACAGGCCCTGGGTGAGATTTAGATGACCTGAAAGAAAAAAAGTTAAGATTTTTTTTTTCTGAACCAAAAATTGCATACAACTACACATTCATTACAACAGAAATAACGACTGGAAAATCAAGATATATCTACAAGGGTTGAAAACATTTCAGTAAATGATTGCTATCTTTATTTTACTCAATTCTAGCCTCCAATTGGGGTATGTCATTCAATTCTACAGTTCATATCAAAAGTAAGAAAAGTTGCATTATGCTTAGAAAAAAAAAGTTCCATCAATATTTACTCAGAGAAAAAGAAGTCATACAGGTAAGAATGCAGCTGAACTGACGCCTACAGAGTAGAAACAGATATGCAATATTTGCTCAAACTCACAATTCAATGGCTTTATTCCACATAATGACGTAGCCTGAGAGCGTGAAGGACTCCACGTTGACAATATGTATGTTACCTCGTTCAGTGCCCACATAGAGCCACTTACTCTGGAAAGGCAGATGGCAAAATGTAACCCTGCAAAACAAAATATATCCAAAGGAAATGAGAAAAATACCTGGTAAATTTTATTAACTGTGTCAGAGAAGCCATACTGATATATACAATTTAGGAAACAAAAAAGATACAACCATATTTACCTCACTGCAGTTAATATTCAATTATGCTAATCCTACGTTAATGTCAAATATAAGTCATTACAAAAATAAATAGCATAACAGAGAAAAGACGAGTTTTGACATTAGTATGTGTTCCAAATCTGGCTATTTCAAATCCACTGTGTTACTTCAGGCACATCGCAAACTGAATCTGTGAAGCCACAAACTGAGTCTAACACTCATCACTTCTGGGCACTATCATATTCCTCAGAAGCTATTAAACACACAAATCCATCTCAAAACCTGTGCTGATTATTCCTTCCATGCAAAATGCTCCTCCTGCTCACAATTTTCTTCTGGTCAAGATCCAGTTAAAATACCGCCTTCATTCAAATCGATATCCCAATGCTTTTGTACCTCTATCTGGCTTGCCTTATAAAAGTCTACCTTTCTCACTGACTTGTAAGCCTCTGGAGGGCAAAGGTCCTCTGTACTCAGGCTTAGATAATGACACTGGAGTATATTCAAACGATCTCTTTCCGATGATGCAAGAGATCTCCGTTGACACATTATAAAAATGTATAGGCAGGAATTAAAGTTTATAATCATTCAAACAATTTCAAACATTTTCTATATAAGCTCAATTGATTACAAGGTAAAGAATGGAACCTACCTTGTCCTTTTTGTAGAACTTATTTTTAGTAAAAACATAGTATGTCATGAAACCATATAAACTCATTTTTTTCAGACAATGTGTTGTGTCTTTCAAAATATACTATTTAAGATTTTAATGGAATAGCCCTTCAAACAATATACAATGAAGATAATCACTGCTGAACTCTTTAACTGACACTAAGCATTAGACAAGATATAATATACCAAACATTTGTTATTCCTATTAACATAATTTCATCACACAGAAATTTCAAGATGAAAACACTTCAAATACATGCAACTCATGGTCTCACTATTTCCCAAAGGTAATAGATAATCACTTAAGGTTCATCAACTATATTTTTTGTCAAGTGTTTTATATGACAGTATGTCATCTTTCCAAAGGATTTATGTGTTAATTGAACAAAGCAAGGAAATGACTACTGAATCAAAAAACAGCATCCTATTACTTTTTGGGCTTCCTGGTGGCTCAGACAGTAAAGAATGTGCCTGCAATGTTGGAGACCTGGGTTTGATCCCCGGGTTGGAAAGATCCCCTGGAGGAGGGTATAGCAACCCACTCCAGTATTCTCGCCTGGAGAGTCCCATGAACAGAGGACCCTGGTGGATTCCAGTCCATGGTGTTTCAAAGAGTCGGACATGACTGAGCAACTAAGCAGACACACCTTACTCCACAAGGCAGTAAGTCCACAGTACTTTCACAAAAACTTAGGACTATATTGGGTTCAGAATTTTCCACATTTTAGAAAGGTACATAATGAGTATTTTGTGTATTACCTAGTATGGTGGTGTGTTAGTTGCTTAGTCGTGTCCGACTCTTTGTGACCCCATAGGGTGTAGCCCACTAGGCTCCTCCATCCGAGGGAGTTTCCAGGCAAGAATACTGAAGTGGGTTGCCATTTCCTTCTCCAGAGGATATTCCTGAGTATGGTAGTATGTGGGTGCTAAGTCATTTAGTCATGTCTGATTCTTTGTGACCCCATAGACTGTAGTCTGCCAGGCTTCTCTGTTCATGGGATTCTCCGGGAAAGAACACTGGAGTGGGGTTGCCATGCCCTTCTCCAGGGGATCTTCCTGACCGAGGGATTGAACCCATGTGTCTTACATATCCTGCTCTGGCAGGCAGTTTCTTTATGCGGTAACATCTGGTGAATGCACTGATTATTTTTGAGGAATAATTTCTGGCAATTGCATTTACTTGAGACATAATCATCATATAACAGTAGTTTTGGGTGTACAACATAACACTTCAATATATGTATATATTATGCAACATTTACCACAATAAATCTAGTTATCATCCATAGGTACAGGTATAGTAAGAATTTTTTTTCTGTGATGAGGACGTTTAGTACCTACTCTCTCCAAAAAGTTCAAATATATAACAGTGTTATTACCTATAATCACTGGTGGTTTCTTAAAAAGCTAAATGTACACCCACCATATGAACCACCCATGCCATTCCTAGGTATTTAACCAGAAGAAGGAAAGCGTATGTACAGGTCTACACAAGACCAGTATACAAACATTCATAGTGACTTTGCAAGAGCCCTAAAGTGGAAATAAACCAAAGGTCCTTCAACAGGTAAATGAACAAATTATATACTTAGAATAGTATTTTATGTGTTATGTACTTAAGAATAGTATTCAGTAGTAAATAAAAATAAACCATACATGCAACAATACCAAATAATCTCAAAGTACTGAAGATGAGGGAAAACCAGACAACAAAGATATATTACATGGTTCTGCGTACAATGTATATGCAATAGAAAAATGCAAACTAATCTACTGTAACAGAAAACAAGTCAGAGCTTGCCTGGAATTGTGGGTAGGGACCAGCAACAGAAGACGGGAGGGATTACCACAGGAAACATTCTGAGATGATGGGCAGGTTCATTATCTTGATTATGGTGACAGTTTCATGAGTGTACATATGTGTCAAAACTTATCAAACTGAACACTTTAAATGTGTGCAGTTTACTATATGTCCATTATACCTAAATCAAGCTTTATAAAAAAATTTTTTTCAGAGCTGTGTGGTTTTGGGAATTATGAACACAAGATTGTCACTCTACTACTTAGGCAACAAGCTCTGGAGTTAAACTGCCTTGATTTAACTTCCAGCTCCAACACTCACTAGCATGATCTTCAGGAACCCACTCAATCTCTCAGAGCTTCAGTTTCTAAGCCGCAGAGCCTCGGTGACTGAGGATCAAATATAAAAAGCATGCGAGATGCTTAAAATGGGGCCTTGACATACGTGAGTGCTCAATACATGTGAGCTAATTATTATGAAAAACTAAATGCTACTCTACCAATTAGAGGTTATAGGCAAATTTTAACAACATGAAGAAAATAAATCACACGAATAGCATGCCACGTACAAAATGAACAATGCGCTTAATATCATAAACTATCTCATGTGAAATGTGCCCTAAAGTGAAACATGAGTACAGCTGAAACATTCTGAAAATTCAAAAATAATTTCAAAATAAATAAGCCAAACTCATGAGTTGGACTAAAAAAAAAAAAAACAAACAGAAATATCCAACTTCCTGATCTGTACTTTTTTGCCATTTTCCATTACTCTTCAAAAAAGGAGTAGTTACTGGCTTAATACAATTACATGATCCACCTTTGATTTTAATACTAACATCATTTAAGTAATATGTTTACAAAGTTTAAACGTATCTCCTTAAGGGTAGAGATTTTGGATATATGATACAATGTTTTCTGTTCCTACCACAGCAACACCATACTACAGCTGTTTCTCAAATATTTAAAGAAATGAAGTCAGAACAAATTCTTTACTATTCAGAAAAAAATCTAGAGTTTTTCCCTAGACTCACTTTTTCAATATTAGTTACCATAGTAAGGTTTTTTTTTTTTTCCTCCAGTCAACTATAAAACCAACTTACATTGCTGGGAAATTTTAAGCATCTTTATCTTTTAATCTTTATCCTACTTAATGCTTAACATTTTAAGAAGGAACTTAAAATGTTTACTTACTGATCTGGCACAAAGACTTTAATATTATCCCTGGAATGAGTCTTGTATACTAAAAAACAACATGAACCATAAGGGTATATTTGTACAATGCCCCACAAATTTAAAACTTACTCTGTTCCAAAACTACCATGATTATTTAAGTCAATTGAGAAGGGGGAAAGTCAAATTTTTTAAAATCACAATTAACTTGATAATGTCTTAACTAGCAAATTTTCATGAACATGTTGGATTAGGAATATAATGAGAAAAATAAAATTCCATGTTGCAATCAAACAAAACAATACCATGCCAGTGCTTTAGGGAAAGGCCAAAAGAAAATAAGGTTACCTGAAATGCACTACTAAAATGAAGCAAGTCAATCAACATGCTTTATAAAGAAATGCAAGATTCTAAAATTTGGGGCAATTTAATCAGTTACCAAAATATGAAGTTGGTGGTTAACACAAACTAGACTTGACTTACTATAATGAGCTCAGTTCAGTTCAGCTCAGTTCAGTCACTCAGTCGTGTCCAACTCCTTGCAACCCCATGAATCGCAGCACGCTAGGCCTCTCTGTCCATCACCAACTACCAGAGTTTATTCAAACTCATGTCCATCAAGTCGGTGATGCCATCCAACCATCTCATCCTCTGTCGTCCCCTTCTCCTCCTATCCTCAATCTTTCCCAGCATCAGGGTCTTTTCAAATCAGTCAGCTCTTCGCATGAGGTGGCCAAAGTATTGGAGTTTCAACTTCAGCATCAGTCCTTCCAGTGAACACCCAGGACTGATCTCCTTTAGGATGGACTGGTTGGATCTTCTTGCAGTTCAAGGGACTCTCAAGAGTCTTCTCCAACACCACAGTTCAAAAGCATCAATTCTTCAGTGCTCAACTTTCTCTATGGTCCAACTCTCACATTCACACATGACTACCGGAAAAACCATAGATTTGACTAGACAGACCTTTGTTGGCAAACTAATGTCTCTGCTCTTTAATATGCTGTCTAGGTTGGTCATAAGTTTCCTTCCAAGGAGTGAGCGTCTTTTAATTTCATGGCTGCAATCACCATCTGCAGTGATTTTGGAGTCCCCCAAAATAAAGTCTGACACTGTTTCCCCATCTATTTCCCATGAAGTGATGGGACCAGATGCCATGATCTAAGTTTTCTGAATGTTGACCTTTAAGCCAACTTTTTCACTCTCTTCTTTCACTTTCATCAAGAGGCTTTTTAGTTCCTCTTCACTTTCTGCCAT